ACACGTGAAGTGCTTCTTCGATAATCCCAGTTAGTATACAGTTCTCGTACCATACTCAGGTTTACAGGCCCCGGGCATTCCAAGAACTTGTCCATCTTAAGAGCTCGCAACCTGTCAAGTATCTCCGGGAATTTCTTCTCTAAGGTTATGGTATTAATCCCCATCTCAAAAATGTACCGACCAGATGGCATGAAGTCTCTATGCCAAGCTATAGCAGCAACATCAACCAAGTCCAAACGAGGCCTCGGCCTCAATGGCACTTGATGAGATCCCTCGGCGATCTGTTTCCCCTTGGATTGTCGTGAAGAGCTTTCTCCCTGCTTGCGCTTTTTGGTCGCCGGAGAGGTGGTGGAGGACTTTACAATGCCTTTGCCTTTACTAGTTCTATCACGAGCCATAGTATCCTGCAACACAAGTAAATATGAATATGAGAATGGTTCAAGAAATATGCGTTAGGTTGTCGTGCAAGTCATGAAATGACCCCACACTTAAAACCGCAGGCACAAGTACAAGTGTTGCACCTTAAATCTATGGGTACATAAGACTTCCCCATGCTACTCAATAATGATTGATCATGGCAACGTGAATTTTCAATAAGGTAAGCAAAAGGCATATGGTATGCACCTTTCACAAAATTAGACTCTACTAAATTAGGCTAACTTACAAGAGTCTACAACATACAACATATAAAAGCAATGGTGTAAAAATATGTTCTTCATCAACGCCACATCCCCTAGCATGTAAAAGTGTCCCTACACACCCCACACTTAACCCAAATGCATACACAATTGCATCCGGTTACTCAGACTTCACCGGTGCACCAAAAATCCTCTTTCAAGCATTTAAACAAACATAATGTGGGCATGAAGTGTGTTCTTATAATTCAACAATGGTGGAACATGGTGGACCTCCCAATTTTCAATGAAGTAGAGGAAATTCTAGTTTACTACTCCGTATACACATTAAACACACAAATTTTGATCAAAATAAATCACCCACCATAAAAATTTCATTGGAACTACATGGGGAAAACTATGGGGAAATAGGGCTCTTGGGAATGGAATTATGTTAATCTACTAGTTAGAGCACAACAAGAAATAGAAGAGAAGAATAAGAAATACCTATAAAAAGGAGTGCAAGATGGAGAGAAAAATTGAAGAGAAAAAAGAAAGAAAAAAAATTTTGACTGAAGAAGAAGCAGAAGAGCGTCGACAGAAACAGTAGCATTTGATGTTTTTATTGGTTTTGGGAAGGGATACGGGTAGTAGTATTAGTGTAAATGGGTATTTGGGTTGGGTTAAATGGGTATGGGTTAAGAATAAAATAAATAACGAAAAGAAGGAAAAAAAAATTAAAAACTTACCTGACCCCCAGCTGGGCGCCTAGCGCCCTGCCTGGCGCTGGGGTTTACTGGGCACACTGGTTCGGGCGCCCCAGGCAGCGCTGGGTGCTGTCCTGGGCGCTGTTCACGCTGATGTTTTTTTTGGTAAACATCCTGATTCCCCGAGCCTTATATATACCCAATTTACACGTCCTACACCATTACATCTAAAAGTTCTATACCTATAAAGAAATTGCAAAACTCTACCTATCTAAAAAAGAAAACGTAAGAAGTTAAACTAGGAAAGCAAATAAAAATTGGGTTGCCTCCCAACAAGCGCCTGATTTAACATCGCGGCACAGCGCAGAGTCTCGCTTACTCATCAATGAGTACAACCTTGGTCTTCTCACGATTAATCATTCCTCCCCAATAATGCTTCACTCTATGACCATTCACCAAGAATTTCCTCTCACAATTTAAAGCTCACAGCTCGATTGCACCATAGGGAGTGACTCTCACCACCTCAAAAGGACCTGACCATCTCGACTTTAGCTTCCCAGGGAATAGTCGTAGTCTAGAATTGAATAATAAGACCTGTTGGCCTGGCTCAAAGTGACGCGGATTGATATGCTTGTCATGCCATCTTTTTGTCTTTTCTTTATATAGCTTAGCATTTTCATAAATGTGCAACCTGAACTTGTCTAACTCATTCAACTGCATAAGTCTTGTCTCACCTGCGGCCTCAAGGTCCATGTTTAGCTTCTTAATGGCCTAGTATGCCTTGTGTTCAAGCTCAACGGGCAAGTGACATGCCTTCCCATAAACCAGCTTGTAAGGGGATGCTCCAATTGGCGTTTTATATGCAGTCCTATATGCCCATAGGGTATCATCCAACTTTGCATCCCAATCCTTCATATTCACACTTACTGTCTTCTCCAATATTTGCTTGATTTCTCTATTTGACACCTCAGCTTGCCCACTTGTTTGAGGATGATATGCTGTAGAAACTTTGTGGCGAACTCCATATTTAGCTAGAAGGTTATTCAACACTCTATTGCAAAAAGGAGTCCCTTTATCACTAATTAAGGCACGTGGAGTCCGAAATCTCGAGAATATATTCTTTTTCAGAAAAGCAGCTACCACCATGGCATCATTCGTTGGCAAAGCAATTGCCTCCACCCATTTTGACACGTAGTCAACTGCTAGCAAAATGTATTTATTTCCTCTGGACGGTGGAAATGGCCCCATAAAATCTATCCCTCACACATCAAAAAGCTCAATTTCTAGAATGTTATTTAAAGGCATCTCATGCCTCCTTGTGATTGTACCCGTTCCTTGACATTGGTCACACTTCTTAACAAATGCATGTGCATCCTTGAATAAAGTCGGCCAAAAGAGACCAGATTGTAGCACCTTTGTAGTTGTTCTATCTCCTCTATGATGGCCCCCATAAGGTGATGCGTGACAATCATACAACACTAATTCCACCTCTTTTTCAGGAATGCATCTCCTCATCAACTGATCAGCACATTGCTTGTACAAATAGGGATCATCCCAGTAGTAGAAGTTCACATCATGTAAAAACCTCTTTGTCACTTCAGATTGGATTTCGGGAGAAAGTACCCCACTCACAAGATAATTCACATAATCTGCGTACCATGGGGGAGGGTCTTGGGTTATAGAAAAAAGTTGCTCATCAGGAAACACTTCTTTAATTTGGCCACCCTCCTCCACGTGATCGTGATTTTCCAACCTTGACAGATGATCAGCTACTTGGTTCTTTGTCCCTTTTCGATCTCGTATTTCCACATCAAATTCCTGCAGCAATAAAACCCAGTGCATCAATCTAGCCTTAGATTCCTTTTTTGTAAACAAATACCTGATTGTTGCATGATCGGTATGGACTATGATTTTCGTTCCCACCAAGTATGCCTGAAATTTCTCAAAGACCCACACTACAACTAACAACTCCTTCTCAGTGGTGGTGTAGTTCAATTGTACATCATCAAGAGTATTACTCGCATAGTAGATGGAATAAAACACTTTGTCCTTCCTCTGGCCTTGCACTGCCCCAATGGCAAGGTCACTCACATCACACATAAGTTCAAATGGTAAAGACCAGTCAGGTACCACAATAATGGGAGCAGTCACCAACTTCTTTTTATGTTCTTCAAATGCCTTGAGGCAAGCATCATCAAAGTTGAAAGTTACATCTTTTTCAAGCAGCCTGCACAGAGGAGTAGAAATTTTCAAAAAATCTTAAATAAAGCACCGATAGAAACCCGCGTGTCCCAAGAAGCTCTGAACACCCTTCACTGAAACGGGTGGAGGTAATTTTTCAATCGCCTCCACCTTCGCCTTATCAACTTCAATTCCACTCCTAGATACTTTGTGAGCCAACACGATGCCTTCTTGTACCATAAAATGGCACTTTTCCCAATTCAGTACCAGATTTGTTTCTTCACAACGGGCTAGCACCTTGCTTAAATTACTCAAGGAATCATCATAAGAAGACCCAAAAACTGAAAAATCATCCATAAACACTTCCATGAATTTTTTCACCATGTCGGTAAAAATAGCCATCATACACCTCTGGAAAATGGCTGGTACATTACAAAGACCAAACGACATTCGCTTGAAGGCGAAAGTGCCATAAGGACAAGTAAAAGTAGTCTTCTCCTGATCCTCTGGGCATATGACAATCTGATTTTATCCCGAATAACCATCAAGAAAGCAATAATATTCATGCCCGGCTAACCTGTCTAGAATTTGGTCGATGAATGGAAGTGGGAAGTGGTCCTTGCGAGATGCCTTATTGAGCCTTCTATAATCAATGCAGACTCTCCACCCCGTAATAGTGTGAGTGGGGATTAGCTCATTCTTCTCGTTCTCAACTACAGTCATACCTCCCTTTTTAGGCACACATTGAACAGGGCTTACCCAGTTGTTGTCAGAAATAGGGAAAATGATACCTGCATCAAGCAACTTGATTACTTACTTTTTCACCACCTCCTTCATAATGGGATTTAATCTCCTTTGTTGCTCTACACTGGGGCGGTGACCATCATTTAAAAAGATTTTATGCATGCAAAACGATGGACTAATACCCTTGATGTCAGCTAAAGTCCACCCAAAGGCCTTTTTATGCTCACGGAGTACTCTGAGCAATTTTTCTTCTTGAGTGCTGGTCAAGCTGGACGAAATAATCACAGGCAATGTCTCAGAGTTCCCCAAATAAGCATAGCACAATTGTGCTGGGAGTGGCTTGAGTTCTAGCTTCGGAGCTTCTTCAATGGATGGCCTGGGAAGGGTCAGAGTAGCAGGCCTGTCCAACTCTTCAAATTTTTTAAACCCATTTACATAACTGCAGGATAAATCCAGCAGTTGCTCAATTTCTCCTATTATTTCATCTTCACTATTTTCTGCATCCCCAATCAACACTCGTTCAACAGGATCTGCAGGGCTCATATAGGGTACTAACGATGTGGCATCACTCTCCACCACAGAGATCATGGATAACTCTTCATAATGGGTTGGTAACTTGAGTGCTCTATAAACATTGAAGACCTCCACTCGATCACCTACTCTCATCGTCATCCTTCCTTAGCAAACATCGATAATAGCTCGGCCCGTGGCTAAGAATGGACGCCCCAAAATAAATGGGACTTCCTGATCAGGCTCATAATCCAAGATAATGAAATCGGCAAGGAATATGAAGGAACCCACTTGCAAGGGAGCGATCCCAACTAGAGGAAACCCCAGTCCTGACGATGAGCAAGGGAGCGATCCTTAATTAGCAACTATTGAGAATAGGTGAGTAGTACTTCGGGAGAAGGCTATGAGAGCATTTATCGATTAATTAGCAATCATGAGTGAATTATATGAAAGGGAGAGTTAATTAGAACACAATATGATTGGTGAATCTATCACAACTCTAGAATACTTGTCTCTACTAAATACACAACAATCAACTCGTTACTTGATAATTTAGTTATTATTTAGAATCGTAGTATCATATAATCATATTATTGGACTTTGTTTTTAGCTAGATTGAATAACAATTTTAGTGATTTAGTGAGTAGTTTACACAAGTCTCTGTGGGTTAGACACTCAACTTATCATTATATTACTTGTCGACTACGTATACTTGCGTGTACGTTTGGGAGCAACAAGTTTCAATCACTCCCTCAAGATGAGCAGGGGAGCGATCAGCTAACTGTAAGATAACTGTTATTGGGCGTGGCTCACCCAACCCTAACTGTCTGAACATAGATAGCGGCATCAAATTGATGCTGGCTCCAAGATCACATAAAGCTCGCCCAACAGCATGTTTACCAATCGAAATTTGGATAGTGAAACTACCCAGATCCTTCAATATCTGAGGTAACTTACATTGAATTTTGGAACTGCACTCCTCAATGAGTGCCACTGTCTCGAACTCGGTTAGCCTCCTTTTATTTGCCACAATATCCTTGATGTACTTTGCATATTTGGGTACTTCTTGTAAGATGTCAACCAATGGAATATTAATCTGCACCTGCCTCAAGATATCAAGAAACGTTTTATATGCAGCATTGTCTCTTAATTTCTGCAATCTTTGAGGGAATGGAGGTGGTGGCCTAGTCTCAATTACTGACTTGGGTCCTTTATCATCTTTCTCATTCCCCTCAACTGGCTTGGGAGCTAATTCTCCTTCAGGATGATCTGTATTCTTCTTTTTCTTTGGAACTTTTTCTAGTGCTCTTCCATTTCTCAAGGTAACCGCATTGACTTGAGCTTTAGGATTGGGCTCAGTATCACTTGGAAGTGCTCCAGATGGTCTAGTGTTTTGAGCACTGGCAAGCTGTCCCATTTGACGCTCTAAATTTCTCACTATTATGGCGAGGGCTTGCTGTTCATCCATCACTTTTTGAGAGAGGGCTTGTTGTTCGGCCATCACTTTTTTCAACATGTCTTCAAGGTGACTTGTAGGACTCGCTTGTTGTTCAACCTGAGGTGGTCTATATTTCTGTTGAGGTGCTTGAGACCTGTATTGATTCTGAGTGCCCTGGTTTCCACCCCAAGAGAAGTTTGGGTGGTTCCTCCAGTTGGGATTGTAAGTGTTCCCATATTGATTTTTTTGACCCCTATTTGAATTACCCACAAAGCAGACAGACTCTGGGTTTGCGGGGCATATGTCACTCGTGTGACCCTCTCCACATATTTCACAAAAAGCTTGAACCTGTTGTACCTGTTGCTTGTTGATACTCAAGTTCATCTGGTTGACTTGATTGGTCAGTATAGAAATCTGCGGTGATAATGCTGAGACGACATCTAACTCAAGAACCCCTACAAACTTTTGCACTGTGTGTCTACCCATCTCTCCTTGCCAATCCGGATTGCTCTTGGAGAATTTGTTCAATAATGCATATATCTCGTCAAAGCTTTTCTCCAACACTTGACCCCCAGCTGCAGCATCTACCACGATCTTTATTTCAGCATGTAGCCCTTCTATGAAAGTGTGAGCTAACACTTCATTCATTTGATTGTGATGAGGATAGTCTCTGAGTATCCCCTTGAACCTTTCCCAAGCTGAGTATAAAGATTCTCCCGCTTTTTGTTTGAAGGCAACTATCTCACTTCTGATCTTTGCAGTTTTGCCTGAAGGGAAAAACCTTGCCATGAATTTTCTTGCCAAATTGTTCCATGATGTAATTGAATTAGCTGGTTCTGCTTTTAGCCATCGCTTCGCCTCGCCCAACAAAGAGAATGGAAAAAGTGTAAGCCTCACATAATCTGGAGTGACCCCGTTAGTGATGTAAGTATCACTAATCTTCAAGAAGTTCAGAATATGTTGTTGCGGATCCTCGTGTGGAAGACCCATAAATTGCCCGTTTGCATGAAGCAGCTGGATCATGCTCTATTTCAGCTGAAAGTGCCTAGTGATCCTGGGCTTCACCATGTTGGAGGTGACATTAGCAATGTTGGGCATCTCCACCTCCTGAACAGCCATGGGTTGCTCCTCTGCCATGTCCACAAGAAATTAAACAAGTACCTGAATATTGTTCATGTCCCTTGCTTCCCTCAACCTCCTGTGAAATGTTCTCTCAGATTCAGGATCAAAGCCTTTAAGTCGGTATTGGCTCCTGACCCTACGCATTCAATCAAAGTTCCTGATATCCGAGCAACAATCAAGTAACGTTAGACTCGATGAAATAGAAAATTAAAACAAAAACTAGCAAGTAGCTAATATTCAAGTCCCCAGCAATGACGCCAAAAACTTGTTGCTCCCAAACGCACACGCAAGTATACGTGGTCGACAAGTAATATAATGCTAAATTGAGTGTCGAACCCACAGAGACTTGTGTAAACTACTCACTAAATCACTAAAATTGTTATTCATTCCAGCTAAAATCAAAGTCCAATAATATGATTATATTATACTACAATTCTAAATAATAACTAAGTTATCAAGTAACGAGTCGATTGTTGTGTATTCAGTAGAGACAAATATTCCAGGGTTGTGATCGATTCATCATTCGTATTATGTTTTAATTAACTCTCCCGTTCAAATAATTCACTCATGGTTGCTAATTAATCGATAAATGGTCTCATAGCCTTCTCCCGGAGTACTACTCACCTATTTTCAATAGATTAACGCCTATATTCCTATGAAATCAATCTATTAAGAACGCATTAAGATCACGATATTTAATTAAGCACGGTGACTAGGTATATTCATATCCTAACCACAAATCCGCTCCCCCTAAGGGTTAAGATCATGCTCTCTTCAATTCTTCTCTAATCTAAACATGACTCTCCCAAGCATAGCATAGATAGTAAATAGAACCTAACTGCTGGCCAGATAATTAAGCAATTAAACATAAAATTGAAGAAACAATCATATATTGGTGAATTATAATCAAGGTCAAGTCAACGTTAAACAACAATATTCATGGCTAAATCACAACCCCAGAACAATGGGTGTTTAGCCACTCATGATGTAGTCAAACAATTGCATAAGTTTTTATTAATTGAATATACTAGAAAAGATGAAGAATTCTGAGATGTTCTTGCTCCTCAATATTTCTTGCGTGTATATTTGCTCCAAAATGGGTCTTTCTCCTCAAAAATAAGTTTGGTCTTGCTTTTATACGTGTTTGGTAGGTCTAGGGCCGAAATAACCTTGTCCCAGGTATAATTGGAGAAACGTCACGTCACCGGCACCCAGCTCGGTGCCAGGCACCCTCCATAGCGCCCCCATTTTTGTGCCTACTGTTTTCGGCACCACAGGTGGCGCCAGGCGCTGCCTGTGGCGCCCAACTAGCTTTCTTTTCCGATTTTGTTCGTTTTAGCTTCAAATCATGCATGTTTCGCCCCAATTGCTCCCGAATTATTCTTACACATAAAAACACATCAAATTAACATAAATCAACACATTTAACATCCCAAATTCACGAAACAAAAGTAAAATACGAGGTGATATACATAGAAATATATATACTTTAAGCTAAACATCACTTGCACAATGCTTTCAGAAGAATGTTATAGGTATACGCATTGGGAAAAGAACAACCCCATCTTTCTTCATGTTACTGTAAATAGGATAAAAGGAACGGACTTTTTGTGGACTTTTAACAGCAATGAACATCCTTCTTTCAAGTACATAGTACAATCAAAATGAAATGTTATGTAATTACTTAGGTTATAAGACTTGTCCTAGTCTTGCCACCTAGACTAATGACTTAAGAATCATTCATAGGATTAGAGGGGTGCTACCACGTGGGGTGGAGGGAAAATTTAATCTTTTTCTAACTTATTAGTTAATTAGGTAATGTCTTGTTACCCGGTAATTAACCAATTACCCGCATAATTAAGAATTGTCTCAAATTACTTAAAATTTTACTCATTTTTAATATACTTTATATATACCCTACTATTAATGTCATGTGATACCATATAAAATTAATACATACACTATTATTTTATTAAAATATCCACGTAAAAATATATATATTTTCTCAACTTCTAATTTTCCTAATCTCATATAAAGAGTACAAATTCCCGTACGCTTAATTCTTAAATAGTAAAAAGATAACTTTCTTTTCTTGTGAGAAAATAATTTCTATCTTTACAGTAAAGAAAATCTCATAAACTTTCTCATGTTATGTGTATAATTTAAAGTATATTCGAAAATAGTAATATTAATAATTATATAAATTCATTTTTCAAACTTTTTTTCTACAATAAATATTCCACTCAACATAAATACCATATCGGAATGTATATATAACGATATCAAGGTTGTTAAACGTACGGGATGTAACAACCAATTAGTTATTTCAATTTAACATTAATATTAAGCTCAATTTAATAGTTATTACAATCTAATCAGTTGGAATTTTAACAACACTTTAGAACTTTGAGTTTTACAAAAATTATTATCTCGAAAACTAATAGTTTGGACTACAATAGTGTAACGACCCATAATGTTGGCGCCTATCGATAATACTAGGCCAACCGACATTACCAAAATGCTTTCAACAATAACCAGAAATAATCAAGACTCTTAAAGTAATTGAAATCTTTGTCATAAAATAGGGTGAATCCCAAAACATAAGTGCGGAAATAAATCCCGACATCGGGATGTCATTTGTCATGAGCATCTAACATAACCGATCCAAAAGTAACAAGATGTGATGATCCAAAAGGTCATCACTTGTTTTAAAAAGTAATTCTGTGTTTCGAGGCTTTGAAAACCTTTTTTTGTCTCACCTCGTATTGTGTGCACAGTTCGGGCGCGCTTCCGGAAAACTTCTACATGAAATCTAAGTAAAATATGGAAATTAGCTTTTAAAATTCGATTAAAGTTTACTTTGGTCAACATTCTTGGTACACAGACCCGGACCCGTGATCTGACGGTCTCGTAGGATCCGTAGTAAAATTTGGAACTTGGGCATATGCCCGGAATCGAATTCTAAGGTCCCAAACCCGAAAAATAAATTTTAAAAGAAAATTATTTTCGGAATATATAAGAGTTTTTTGGAAATGATAAGATGTTTGAAATTGATGGTATCGGGCCCGTATTATGGTTCTGGAGCCAGGTACAAGTTTGAAATAATAATTAGGTTGAATCTGTAAAAATTTGGTAAAGATCGGAATTGGTTTGGTATAAAACGGACTTAAAGTTGAGAAATTAGAAATTTTGATCGCACGAGCGGGTCCGTATGATGTTTTTAGGTTAGGGTGCATGTTTTGTTTGGAGCCCCAAGGGCTCTGTCACGACCCTAATCCCCTAACCCGGTCGTGATGACGCCTCTCGTGAAGACAAGGCCAGCCAGTCCAACACAGTACACTTCTTTAAGCAGTTAGCTACCATAAAACAGTTTAAAGCATGATTAAATAGCAATAATTCGCGGAAATATAGATAACAATAGAAGAAACCATCCCAACACAGCCCAAACCGGGGTGTCACAAGTCATTAGCAACTAATGATCCTGATACGAGTCTACTAGGTATGATGTCTGGTACAATAGTTTGAAAAACATATAATTAATAAAATACAGGGAGGCACGGGGGTTGCGGACGCCAACAGCTACCTCGTAGTCTCTGAAACACCGCCTGGACTAGGAGGATTAGCACTCAGGAGAAGGATCTGCTATGCCTGAATCTGCACAGGGGTGCAGAGAGTAAAGTGAGTACTCCAACTCAGTGAGTAACAAATATAAATAATGGTTGAAAGCATGAAAACACGTAAAGGCACAAGGCAATTCTATATCAAAGCAGTAAAATCACTTAAAGCAGTAAATCCGTGAAGAAATCAAGTTAAATTCCTTTTTAAATAAGTAAAACATGTAGTTTGGCAGGTAAATAACAAGTAGAAATCTTTCCCCCGAGCACAGTATCAATCACTCAGAACAGTACCAGCCCCTCGGGCTCACTCTCAGTACAATATCAGCCCCTCGGGCTCACTCTCAGTACAATATCAGCCCCTCGGGCTCACTCTCAGATCATGATGGGTACCCAAATATGGCAATCAGCCCAAATCATGATGATGCCAAATAAATTTCAGTCAAATACGTGGTAAAATCATCAATCGGGACGGACCAAGTCACAATCCCCATAAGTACATGACCCCACACTCGTCATCAAGTGTGTGCCTCACCTTAATATAGCATTACGATGTGCAATCCGGGATTTCAAACCCTCATAGCATCATTTACAATCATTACTCACCTCAAATCGGCTAAATCTCTAACTCGCGATGCCTTTGCCCCTCGAATCGGCCTCCACGCCCGTATAATCTATCCAAAATCAGAACGAATACGTCACAATATGCTAAGGGAACAAAGCCCAAGCGAAAACAATCGAAATACCACAAAATTACAGTATTTGGTCAAACCCGACCACCGGGCCCACATCTCAAAATTTGACAAAATTCAATAAACTACAATCCTTATACTCTCACGAGTGTATCCATACAAAAATTATCCAATTCCGATACCATTTGGTCCTTCAGATTATCATTTTACATTTTTAAAATATTTCACAATTTTCCCAAATTCCATCCCAAAATCACGAATTCAATGATAGATTCATGTACTCTAGCCAAATCTTAATTAGAATCACTTACCACGATGAATTTCTTGAAAAAACTTCAAAAATCACCAAAATCCGAGCTCTCTAGGTCAAATTATCAAATAAAACCCAAAACCTCGTATTTATAGAGTCCCCCACATATTTCCAGCTACGCGGGCCGCACAAAATCGACCGCAGTCCGCATAAAACCAGTGCGGTCCGCACAAAAACGACCGCGGCCGCACAACTTTCCTCTGCAGTGATAGAATTTAGTATTTTGGCCATACCTTTCGCTACAGATCTCCA